GGAGTGTGGCTGTGGCCATAGGGGGACCGGGGATCTGCCCATGAGAAATGGAGCGGGGAGGATGAGCACGAGAGTGGAGAGTCCAAGCAGACAAGCAGAAGCACAGACGGACAGGCAGAGGGTGCAGCCCAGAGGGTGTGGAAGATTTCAGGGTCCAGAGAGGCTGCAGACACCGCCCCCCCAACCCCGGACTGTGAAAGTGAGAGCTAGAGAGAGACCAGAGATACACAGAGGCAGTGTGAGATAACAAGGGATGTACACTCCAGAGAGATGGGATTTGAAGATGCTGGGTCAGAGGTCAGGGTAACCAAGGATGGAAGAGACAGCGTGTGAGGGGGAAGCAGGAGGCTATGTGAAAACAGCCTCCATCCTACCCCACATCGGGATGGAGAAATTAACCACAACAAAGGAGAAAGAGGTGGCTTCTATGTGACCTGCAAACGTGAGCCAGGGCTGGAAGTAGAGGTGATACCCCTATCTTGGGAGACCCATCTCTCCCCATTAAAGGGCAGAAGGTGCAGAGGGACAAAGCTCAGGCCATGTGAGTAGTGAGGGGCATGGATCTGACTCCATCTCTCCCGCTTTCTCTCTTGGCCACAACTGGACAGACAGCTGTGGCAGCTGCCCTGGCCCCACTACCCACCTGCTGATTCTGGCCCAGCCGTGGGACTTCTGGGTGTGGAGGCTGCCCAGGGTCTATGTAAGAGTGTGGAGACCTGGGAGTGGAGGCACCGGGGGTGGGGGGGGTGGGTGGGAGGGCTTGCACACAGGCGCTAATCCCCAATCCAGCCGAGGCAGAAGCAGAGCCTCACTGACCTTCTCAGAGATTAGTCCCCATGACGACAGTGGCAACTCGCCCCCTCATTCGGGCTAGGCCAGGTGTGTGTGAGAAAAGTGGGGAGTGGGGAGTCAGAGTGCAGGCAGAGGCTCGGTGGGGAGGGAAGGGAGCCTTCCCTTCCCTAGGCATCACAGGATCACAAGAGTCAGGGCTGGGAGGCCCTTCCAGGATCAGCAATTAGCTTAGTTTTCAGGTACAAAACTGTGGCCCCAAGATGGAGAATGACCTGCCCAAGGCCACATATGGAGCCAGGAAAAGCACCAGGACCAGAAGTCAGGTCTCTGGCTCCACCCAGACAGCAGAGATTTGAACAAAAACAAAGGAAATTGGGATACCCCCCGACCCTCCCCAACGGAGCTCATCAGTAGAGCCACTCTGATGGAGTGAAGCAGGAAGGCTCCCCAACCTGAGTGCTAGGCTGGCTGCTCGGGACAGGGGATGCTGCTGTGCCTGCTACCCGACTCCTCCCTACAACCCAGCCCAGCCCCAGGGGGATAGGAAGAACTAGGCAGCAAAGCCAGTTATAACCACAACTGTAACAGCGAACATTTATTTGATGCCTACTGCAGGCTAGTTCTGGGTTTTACAGGCATTTAAATCTTTACAACAGTTTTAAAGATTATCATTCCCATTTTTCAGGGGGAAAATCTGAGTAGTGGAGTACAAGC